CAAGGGCAGATCAGCAGACTGCTATCAGTTCGACACACAATACAAGGGGTGACAGAGAACGGTCTTTGATTGATAGGGGCCCATTTCTGCTTGTAGTGGCGAGAGAGCAAGCAATGGGATAACCACAGAGAAGGCGGAGTCACGATGCAGACACACCCAGGATGGGACTCCTAGGAAAACAACTCTATGGTGCCTCTGCTCTTGGACATCCACTCGACAGAGCTCAGAAGTCAGTTTGTCTAAGAGACTTCTGTGCTGGCCAGAGGCAGGTCTCAGGCTAACCAACTGACCTTTCTGTGAACGGCTAAGCAGGGGACAAGCACAGCTGAAGGGCCAGAAGATATTTAAATTAGTTCTTAAAAATTCCTCAAGTAGGGAAATGAACTGACAAGGGCATTAAGTCTGCCAAAGCCTAAGCCAAGGTTGCTGAAGACAACAGCAAACTGAGTTGTGGCTACGGCTCTTCTGGAGACTGGGGAACAAACTGTTTGACACACAGACACTGACTGGTTTTTCCTCCCATCTCTGAACCGAGTGTTCCAGAAAATAACTCAGTTCTGAGACTGTCTTCGGGGAGTCAGTATCAGGTCCCAGGTTCAGGAGCTCAGTTCTACAGAACTGGTCCTTTGGCGCCTAGCACAAGCGAGGCCTCTGCTCTCTCTCCCACCATTCATGAACTGGACTCTCACAACACCCCCTCCCAACCCCTTCAGTGTTAAGTGTGCTGAGAGAATTCAAAAGGCTAGAACCTGGAAATAGCCAGGTGGAAGAGATGCGCAGGGCAAGGGACCGGGGTGGAAAGCAGCCTTGCCCCTTCCCGCATCTGCAAACTGGAATTCATCGCATCTCTAAGGGGCTTGGCGGAGCTTCATCTGCAGCCTACTTCACCCGCTTCTCAGGTGGAACTTCCCCAAAGGCCAGCTCTAATCCTGTACGTATCTGGGCTTCCGGTAACAACCCCAGTGCTGAGGCCATCTGGGGAACCCTGCCTAACTCACCCCATGTGTCTGATCGAAAGGAGCCTTGATGGGAAGAGTAAGAATTCATACCACGCACTAGGAAAGCACAACACCCCACCCGTGAGGCAGCAGCTGTTTATTGGTGGTGACTGTCACACGGTGGCATCACGGGGTGACGCAATCTTCCTGAGAGGTCTGCTAAGGTAGGATCTGGAGTCTTCCACATTTATCAGATGCCTTCTCGTTAACGTTCTCCAGTTTTGCAATTCTACATCCAAACTGCATGGCCCGCTTTGGCAGAAGGGCGGAGGCTGTGAGGCCAAGTTCCACAGCTGCCAGGCGTAAGATGAGCTTCTCACCGACCCCACGGGGCAAAGTCAGGTCTGCCTTCTCCCACACCGGCAGGGAATTTAGGAAAGACACGACATTCTCATCCAGGAAAGGAAACCTAAAATTTATTAAAAAAAAAAAAAAAAAAAAAAAAAAGAGTGGCCACTACTAAAAAGTCTATTAGTGATTATGTAATTTAATAGATAAAATTCAACCACATTAAAAAGGTGTTTCAAAACGTGGCAATTTTATATGCATTATAAAGAATTCTAAAATCTAAATAAATTAGCTGTCTATGATATCAAGAAATAATTTCAAGTTGTTTCAGAGTATCCTTGCGGGTGCCCCCAGTATACAGCTTGATCATAAGTAACTTCTGTCTGGTTTGAGCATGTCTACAGAAACTGAACTTTAGGGGCATGAAGCCAACATAGAGGGTTCCAAAAGCCTGGACTTGTAACACTGTAAATAAACAAAACTGTAAGAATTTTGTTTATTTACACTTAAATTGCTTGTGCGGCCACAAATTGGTATCCATAACAAATACTACATTTAAAACAGAAACATTCTGCTCTTCTGCTTCTTCACTTTCCCACAAAACCATGGATTTTTCTCTGAGCTGCGTTGTTTCCATTACCAGCCCATCCCCATCTTCCCTGCCCATCCTCAGAACACAGCAGCTCTGCCACACTCACTGTCCTAACCGCTCTTCCTACACACCGCCACCCGAGCGCAGCACTGGAATAATTTCCTTAGGCTTTTGGAATTAACTGCTTCATCAGAAAAAGTAAATTCTCTACTCCTTCATCTGCCTGATGATAATGGATTAAATTCCTCTCTTCCTTTTCTGTAACTCCTGACCCTCTCTCTCATGTTCTTCAAAGAGAGTTTATTTACTTTGTAGAACAGTACTAATTATCTATCTGAAATATAATCTTGAGAAACAGAACAGCAATGACAATCTAATCTGGACAAGGACTGGCAACACAGGGACAGCTGGGCAAAGGCAAGCATGCTTCACTGCAAAGGACTAAGCATGAAATAAAGGCTAGAGACATTCTCAGACAAAGGGAGGTAACTACTGTGATGCTCTCCAGCTCTCATGACGCTTACACGGCTTCCTCCTCCTTGCCTGCCGAATCCTTCTAACAAAATACCACTTATTTAAACACGGTGCCATTCATTTTTCTTTTTGAGACATGGCCTTGATACATAAGCCAGGCTGGTCTCAAATCCATGGTCTCCGGAGTCTGCCAGTTAACGTGAACCACCACAGACACAGAGCTCCACAGCTGTGCTTCCCAGACTGCCTCGTCTCCCTGTGCTCTTACTGTTGAAAACTCTCCTTTTTCACTATGTCCTAACATCCTAAGTAGGTTGTAGGCAGAAACAATCCGAGATTTCAAAAGCACACACGAAACTGCCTTGGTCTCTGTGAACATTTTAGGTGATCTAAAACAGTACTAAATCTGTTCAAAAACCACACAAGGGACCGAAATCCAGGCCTGGCACCCCCACAGATCACCACAGCAGACATGCCTACACGGACAAACCCAGATTCTACAACCCTGCAGGACAAAGTCAGGGTGGGTTTATGGGGCAAAACAAAATCCTTAAACTGCCTCCACTTGGAAATACACTATGCTGTTTTCACGTCTGTAGTTTTTTCATCATGGCCCTAGAAAGAATTACTCAGTCACCTCCTATCATGAGTTCAGACTTCCTACAGCTCCCTGGCGCCTTCGGCTCTGCTCTCATTTACAGGGTAAAGCTGAGATTGTGTGCCAAGTGCTCCTGTCCTGATGGGAGCACTCTCCACGGAAAAGGAATAGGAAGCCTTCCTTTGTATTTCTACTACAAAGCCTCTGAGTAATGGGTGAGTCACCTTGCTTCCTTTCCATGGTCACCAATAACTCTGTCGTCACGACCGAGGTTTCTGGAGGCAATGCGGCCCAGTTCCATGGCTACTTCCTCATTCAGTCCTTCGAGGCCGAGAGCCTGAAAGCGGACACGATGGCGGGAGTAGCCCGCCAGCTGCTCGTCCGCACCGATACCAGTCAGAATCACCTACAGAAGAGCGAAGAAAGCCAGAGATGTGACCGAGGACAAGAAAAAAAAAAAAGAGAGATTTTTCTTATAAAGCCTAAAAAAAAAACCCCACAGGTCAAAAAATAGTAAAAAAAAAAATGTTCAATTTTAAAGAAGTAATATACATTGTATTAAAAAGAATAAATAAAATGCAGTATAGTCTTACAACCTTAAATGTTAAAAGGCTCAAGAGTCAAAATTAGGTCTCGGAAATCCCTCTGAGCAAAAATCCCAGCGCACACCTTTGCAGGGCTCTCATAAGATCTGGCAGCATCCTGGGTCACTAGGCAACCGATTCCTCTAGCAGCAAACCAGACCGCACAGCCAATGCTGTCATCCAGAACTGTGTCCAAGGGCTGAACTAAGTGACATATCCGAGCTCTTCTTAGATTTTGTAGCTCTTCAAGAGAAACATCAATTTCAACAAAATTCCAAGTCCGAGAAGGGTTGAGAGACTGCAGTTCCTTCAGTCCTGCTTTCCCTGTGACTCGGTCCGGCACCTCAGCGGCACCCTGACAGAATTCTTCAGACAGGGTCTTGTGATGGCTTCGCTGTTTTCTTTCGATGTTAGGAACACGTGGCCCAGTCTCTCGTTTACCCACAAAAGCCACATTCAGGAGATCGATCGGCTCATCTAAAGGAACATGACGGTCCGCAAGGGCTGCGAGCACCATGGAATCCACACCTCCAGAAAAGAGGATCGCAATGCTTGCTTTCTTAGGACAAGCTTGCAAAACTTCCTCTGATGCCGGGTTTTCCTCCCTAGCTAAACACAAGACACGTCTCTTGACTGCAACACCGAGGACATGAATGAACTGCTGAACTACTTTCTTTGTGTGTCCATCCGTCAGAAATGTTTCAAGTGTCTCTCTTGCATGTGGAACCCGGGAACTGTCTCTAGAGGGAGCTTCCAGGGGAGCTTGAGGCAGCATCTTATTTAAGGGAGCAATCGGTTTTGGAAGATACAGCTCGGCTTCACTTGCTACCACCGATACAAGCGCCGGCAATTCTGCTGGAGTCCGAGTTGGGTTGATAGCACATTCTTCAATAACATTCTGCTCAGAAACGTATTTCCACGGATATAACTTTAAAGTCACACTACTGGAATCAGCAGCAGAATTGAGATCAATTTGGAAAATTCCAGATGCCGGAACTTCTTGCCACTGGTCTGTAAGCCCAGATACCTGGGTGCCAACTGAAGAGAGGCAGAAACTCCTGCCCAGATTATTAAAATGCCAAAGCAAGCTACGGCGGCCAAAGAAGTCCCTACCAAACCATAAGCAATGGCTAGACGCTTGATAGTATATAAAAGACCAAGGACCTCGGACTTTGGAGAAGAGTGCCAGAATATCAGACTCCGTCTTACAGGCAGAAAGGCTACTGCTCATAACCTGGGTGTCATTGTCCTCTGCTTCAACCTGGACCCCACTAAAAACTTCCCCGTTCCACAGGAACACGTTGCCACTCTCATCTTCCACAGGCTGGGCAGTCAAAGCACCTCTCAAGTGAAGGACGTGACCGGAAAACAGACACTGATAGTTAACACTAGATTTGAACAACTGCTTGCTGCTATCGGGACCCCGTCGCCTAAGGCTGCGCAGCAAATCCTCTCTTAACTCTTTACTGAAATGCTCAGCAGAGAAGCCTACACAACAGCAGATGCCGCACATGGCTGTGAAGTCAGGGCGACTGAGTCTTGACTTTGGTCGTCTCCGAGTTTTCTAAGGCTTGGTATTCTTTTCTTAGCTCATCCAATTTATCTGTAGGAGGGAGTGAGAAAAAAGATTGAAGTTCAGAAATGCTTACCTATTAATTCATGGACAAAACAAACTACTTCTCAAGATTCTATGAGTAGATGCCTTGTACAATTGCCAGGAGTAACTCAGAATGCTGCAGGGACAAACAGTGCTGAATTTCGGAATGGTTTCCTTTCACTGAGTACTTATTTTGGTCCAAGCACTTGGCTAAGCACTTTGCATATCCAACTTTCAAATCTGTCAAGACCTTGCAGGCTCAAAGTATTGCCCCCGAAAATGAAAAATCAGAAAATGAATTTTTATACTTTAGTCAAAGTATGAAAAAAAGCCATGCCTATCTCACTTGGTAAATACACCAAATACATCTTCAAGTTATGATTTTACTTCGTAAGTGTGATATAGTTTGATCAGACCCACGTGCTCCCCCACCCTCCCTCTCCTTCCACTGACATGGGTGATCTACCAGGAGTCACACCCCTGAGGACACTGACTCTCCTCCTCCCTGGCAGCCATCACCTGCTAACAGCTCCTCTGTGGCTCAGGTCTCACCCTCCCTCAGAGAAGTTCCTTTTGGCAGTGAACGGCAGGTAAGACAAGAACCACACCTGGTGCGTGCGGAGATTAAGGGACTTTAGAGGGCTCAGTCCAAAACTGGACCTCTGTCTCACACTCCTGACCCCTACGGCTTGGGGATCATAGAGGAAAGGGGACAGACGGAGCACAAGGACAGGAGACTGGGGCGTTCTGCTGCAGTGTGACAAGTGTCTTCAGACCTCACGGGCTTGCTATGAATGGGAACTCACAGCAGCTACAGCTGCCGGCTCACGGTCCAGCCAGTCAGAATCCCAGTCCCACCCCAGCTAAGGAGTCTTTTTAAACCTGTAGAGATCTTTGGAAGGCTGACTGGAAATAGATCACTGTAGTCGCACACACGCCCAGACGCGCTCATGCAGATGGGGTTGAGTTGAGGTACTATTATGAATCCCCACAAAAAGCCTATAAGAGGTTTTACTATAGTATTCCACACATAACACCGAGAACAAAACCAAAATGAAGACCGCTCACTTTTGCTTTCAGAAAGCATGTCTGTTCGATCTTCAAGAAAGAATATGTTGCTGTTCTGTTGCTGCCTGTACACTTTCTGCAAAAGAAAGTCACAGTATCAGGACACAATTAGCACGGCGATGCTCCACAGAACCCTATGACCACTTACTCTTGAGTTTCAGGAATACTCAGAATTTATCAGATACGAACAGATACCAAGTCACTGATGCTCTGCCATCCTGCCACTGTCCTGTCCGGCCACAGGGCTACCGTTTACTCTTACAGGTGTACAGCATGGAGAGCTTTGCTCATCAATGAAGGTTCTTTACATCACCACATGGGAACAGCGTTAAGAGTTCTTTGCTGCCCGCAAATGTCAGACATTTGTCTGTCTCGTCACCATTACAGATACAGACGGCTGCCACCGCAATTAAACGCCCATGCATCTCACAATTGTGTATGTATCAACTGCTCCGAAAGAAGCCCCAGGTCAAGTCACACAATATTTAGACATTCTGCCAGTCTGATCTCCTAAAGTTCTGTATTAATTTGCCTTAGCGTCCAATATTCCACAAATGACAATATCAGAAGTGTTGAAAATGTCAGTCACTAGAGGATTGAGAGGGCTGAAAATCATTTCCTCACTTAGGATGCAATTTTCCAGAGAAAAACCACATATGAAACAGCAGCTGACTGATGAACACATCATAAAAAAGGCATTAAATGGGTTAAGTATTTGGAATATTACAGTTTTCTGTGGAAAAGGAAATAATTCAATTTTTGCTAAAGTGTAATAGGGAAATAATTTTCTCAACTTTGAGATGCATTGGCATATACAGAAAAACAAATGAAAAACAAAAACAAATCAGTATGAGATCAGTATGTCAGAACTCTGTAACTTTAGCATAAATGATCTAACTCCTAATCTTAATATACTGTATACTAGTCCAGATTCCTGCAGTAACTTACCCGATTCTTCTTCAGGTTAGAGAGTTCATCCACAATGATGTTTTGCAATTTAATCTATGAAAATAAAGAAAAAGCTAAGGTAGAAGTTTCCAAAGTATGTTCAGTAGGGATATTCTAAGTAATGGGCGTAGGGGCTGTCACATATACCCACCACCTGTCTAAACAGACACTAAACAGGGGCCACAGCGCCCAGCTGGGCTCCGTGGCAAACAGCTGAAGAAGGAAAGGCTTAGGCATGCCAGGAGCCAGTTACCCCAGGGCTTATACCTTTAACCTAAGTGAAACACTGTCTACCAAAATTAGTACCAGTCTTAAGTTTTATAACGTCTTGCTGTAAATTAAAACAAAGAGAAAGAAAACGAATGTGGGTTTTGCCCTTTGCCCAGCAACCAGTGTTGTTCATGATGTATGGTAGATGACAATCATTCAGAAAAAAATAAATGGCACTGACGGCCCTACCTGCGGAGAGAAAACGTCATTTTCCACCTCCGCACTTATTCTATTTTGTACGGTCAAGACTACATCCTGCTGGTATCATCAAGCTGGGCTTGTTGTGATCACCAGATGAAGCCTAAGTAGGCAATGCCTCTTTTGCAGCAATCCCACGCCACGACACACAGTATTAAGGGGCAGAGTATTTTGAAAACTCACAGGCACCCTCTTCAGTGTGCACCTTTGCGTCTCCACACAGCCAGAGGTGACAGTTGCGGTAAGGAACTACAAAGCCACAGGCGCTCATCTTCCTGGAGCCTCAAGTCTGCTTCTACAGTGTTTTAGGAATGACGGGTATACATACATCTCACTTTAGCTGGTACCAAAGAAAACTGTGATACCGTGGGAATAAGGCCACTAACCGAAGATGCCATTCGGGCGGGGGGGGGGATGTGGAATTTAGCACATTTAACTCCTGAAAAGACGGTACGCACATCCCTCCGCTATCCATGTCTGAAGATTTTGTCTGTAATTGGATGCTAATGGTAGGGTTCGGCACGGCGGTGCATCCCCGAAATCTCGGCTCTTAGGCAAGGGAATGAGGCCACGCTCCCCTTAAACAAGAGTTTGAGCCTGGCCTGAGCGACATGAAAACCCTATCCCGAAGGAAGCGAGAGCGGGAGAAAGGCAGGCAAAGATTAAAATCCTAGGGTCCTAGGTAGACACGACTGCAAGTCTGCAGGGACGCCACGGACGCAGGCACAGCCGCGGGGCCCGCCGCCCGCGTCCCGGAGCCCCAGACCCGCCGCACCTTGCTGTCCAGGGCCTCGCTGTGTGCAATCGCCGTGGGCGCGGACACCGGCGCGGCGCGATCGTCGGCGCGCACCTCACGGCCGGGCATCTCCACGCCGCGCGGCACACCGGGGAACCGCGGCCGGAAGGGGAAGACCGGACGCACGAGCTCCTGCGAATCCCGCCCCTTCCGGTACCTCAGCGAACGGAGTCTGCACTTTGACGCGTGCGCAGTCGAGGGCGCTCGCGGGCGGGGTGGGGATGTGGGGTGGGATGGGCGGGAAAAGAGTGTATGCAAGCGCACTGGTTTTAGGCCAAAAAAAGATTAAAGAAGAATTGCCTGGTTGTGGAGTTTATGGATTTTCTGTAACGTCCCCTAACGAATCCGATGTAAATAATAATAGTAGTAGTTATAATAATAATATTACCGTTATATAATATAATAATAATTACTATTATTATTATTATTATTATAACAACAGCAACAATCATCATCATCACTTCGCTTTCATATCCAAATAGACCATAGAAGTAAAAATAACAGACAAGGTAAGAAGCTGCGGTGCTGATTTCAGACACACAATGCTGGCGATAGGACTGAACAGAGTTAGACTTTCAGGCTTTTGACTCCTTGTGGTTAGGACTGCCGCATGAACTATATATAGCTTTAGATGAATTTTGGGTGAATTTTGGATGCTCTGTTCCATACAACATCCCAGTCAAGTCTAGAAATAGGCGAGAGAGATTGATGGAGCGCTTTTCAGCGCTTCTGGGTTTTACACCGAAAGGCATGTGGTAAAGAGTTTAGTTCAATTAAAGAAATTTTTAACTAGGCTTAAGTATTTCTATTACATGAATCAAAAGACCCTGAGCCCCCTTAATTTATTTATTTCAGTGATTTTCATTCGTAAAGTTTGCTTTCTTGAAAAATAGAAGTTTTTACAAATTTTCTAAGTATAATAATCAAAATTCTGTGTCTCTTAAGAATTAGAAGGAAAGTTGTATATTATAGGAATAACTGGAAAGGAACCCACAGGAAAGGGTGTTCTTGCTGGAAATCAAAATCAGCCCTGTAGACAGTTTCTTCCACAGTTACCCTGACAACCCAGCTGAGTACTGCATCAAACACTTGCAATCGCAGTACTCAGCAGGCAGACACAGGAAGGTCTTTCCCTGGTCCATGACTTGTTTGCTTTTTCAGGGAGCAGAGGTTCTCCACTCTGGTGGGGACCAGTTTCCCACCTACGTGCTTTATAAGGAATAAGGGACTTTGGGATTAAATCTAAAACACGATCTCAACACCTTTTCTCTTGCACATATAGAAGTGTGATTCTTTGAGATTTCTCATATAGAATTGTGTTTGAGATAACCTAAAAAATGCATTTCATTTGAGAGGACAGGCAAGAAACTCACACAGGACAAAAAGATTGTAATCCGGACAGACATTCAATACGGTTATAAACAAAACGAAGTGACACTGTTTTAGAAATGAAGAGATATATCCATACAAAGCCAGGAAGCTTCCGAACGACTCTAATCTCTGTATTTCCTTTTGGCTGTTGGCAAAGAAATTGGGCCAAGCTAGTTCATTCATAAGAGAGATGTGAAGCTCTTGATAATTCTTACCAGGATTTTGTGAAGATCTAGGAAATTTGGTTGGATTGCAAAGGGTGAAAGGTACGGAGAAAGATAAATTACCTTCAAAAAGAAGGAACACATAGGCTTTAAAAAGCAAGAAGATTTCTAGTCATCCTAGGAGTTCTGGTGAAGCTTAAACAGCATGTGAGGTAGCAAGGTATGCAGGCTTAGGGAAGGAGCCTGTGCAGAAGACAGACAGCCTGTGCAGAAGACCGACAGTCTGTACAGAAGACCGACAGTCTGTGCAGAAGACAGACAGTCTATGCAGAAGACAGGCAGCCTGTGCAGAAGACAGACGCCTGTGCAGAAGACAGACACCTGTGCAGAAGACAGACAGTCTGTGCAGAAGACAGACAGTCTCTGCAGAAGACAGACACCCTGTGCAGAAGACAGACAGTCTATGCAGAAGACAGGCAGCCTGTGCAGAAGACAGACAGTCTGTGCAGAAGACAGGCATCCTGTGCAGAAGACCGACAGTCTGTACAGAAGACCGACAGTCTGTGCAGAAGACAGACAGCCTGTGCAGAAGACAGACAGTCTGTGCAGAAGACAGACACCTGTGCAGGAGACAGACACCTGTGCAGGAGACAGACAGTCTGTGCAGAAGACAGGCAGCCTGTGCAGAAGACAGACAGCCTGTGCAGAAGACAGACACCTGTGCAGAAGACAGACAGTCTGTGCAGAAGACAGTCTGTGCAGGAGACAGACAGTCTGTGCAGGAGACAGACAGTCTGTGCAGGAGACAGACAGTCTGTGCAGGAGACAGACAGTCTGTGCAGGAGACAGACAGCCTGTGCAGGAGACAGACAGCCTGTGCAGGAGACAGGCAGCCTGTGCAGGAGACAGGCAGTCTGTGCAGGAGACAGACAGTCTGTGCAGAAGACAGGCAGTCTGTGCAGAAGACAGGCAGCCTGTGCAGAAGACAGACAGTCTGTGCAGGAGACAGACAGTCTGTGCAGAAGACAGACAGTCTCTGCAGAAGACAGACAGTCTCTGCAGAAGACAGACAGTCTCTGCAGAAGACAGACACCTGTGCAGGAGACAGACAGTCTGTGCAGAAGACAGGCAGCCTGTGCAGAAGACAGACAGTCTGTGCAGAAGACAGACACCTGTGCAGAAGACAGACAGTCTGTGCAGAAGACAGACACCTGTGCAGAAGACAGACAGTCTGTGCAGGAGACAGACAGTCTGTGCAGGAGACAGACAGTCTCTGCAGGAGACAGACAGCCTGTGCAGGAGACAGACAGCCTGTGCAGGAGACAGACAGCCTGTGCAGGAGACAGGCAGCCTGTGCAGGAGACAGGCAGTCTGTGCAGGAGACAGGCAGTCTGTGCAGAAGACAGGCAGTCTGTGCAGAAGACAGGCAGCCTGTGCAGAAGACAGGCAGTCTGTGCAGAAGACAGACAGTCTGTGCAGGAGACAGACAGTCTGTGCAGGAGACAGACAGTCTCTGCAGAAGACAGACAGTCTCTGCAGAAGACAGACACCTGTGCAGGAGACAGACAGTCTGTGCAGAAGACAGGCAGCCTGTGCAGAAGACAGACAGTCTGTGCAGAAGACAGACACCTGTGCAGAAGACAGACAGTCTGTGCAGAAGACAGACACCTGTGCAGAAGACAGACAGTCTGTGCAGGAGACAGACAGTCTGTGCAGGAGACAGACAGTCTGTGCAGAAGACAGACAGTCTGTGCAGAAGACAGCCTGTGCAGTCTTGGAGTCAAAAGGAAACTTGATAAATCTAAGAATAACAAGGCCAATAAGTAAAATTAGTTCATCAACTGGGAAAACGGGAGGGAGTCATAGCAGAGAACCGGAGGCAGTAGGCGGGTGGGGCCAGAGCCCTGGAACCTCTGCAGTGCTAAGCACTCGCCATACACAGCTCTAAGGTGTGTTGTATTTTTACCATGGAGTATACACACGTCTGCAGATTCAGTTCACACACAGTAGGAGCTTCCACCAGAATACGCCTAAGGGAAAGGACAGGTCAAACTACAGCAGAATGCCTTGACTCAGATAAACTAAGTGAAAAGGTTCAGGAAAATGTTAGCGGTATGGGTCAGCCAATCAGCAGAGCGTGGCGTAAACACAACAGAATATCCTCTCAACTGCCGGTCTCCATCAACTGTAGAAAAAGCCTGATGACTTCCTCCTCCCAACTTGTGGTGAAATCTAAGAAAATTTACCTAGATTGTAGAGGGGAAAGAGGATGGGGGAAGGAAACATACAGCCTCCTCGTGCTTTTTTTCTTTCCTTTCTGGCTGTGTAGTTCAGGTTGGCTAGACTCACTAGATGGCCCAGGGTGAGCTTTAAAAATGGAGATCTTCCCAAGTGCTGGGATTGCCAGCGTGTGCTGCCTCGCCCAGGGAGATAAGGTTCCTGTAAAAAAAAAAAAAAAAAAAAAAAAAAGGGAACAGGAAAATCAGGTAGTTTCTGTATGGGTGTGATGTAGGTCAAACATGAAGTTATTGGCAGCTGCGGCTTCACTGGGCTTTTTTCACTTAATGTCATAACTGTAATTCCCTCCATGTCACATAGGACAACTTATCTACCTCCCTCTTCTCCTCCTTTTCATTTTGTTCTTCTTAATGATTTAAGAGTATTATGTGGATTTATGTATTATACTTTATCCATTCATCAGATAGTGGATAAAAATGTTTATTTACATCTGTTACAGACATAAATAATAAACATAAATAATATAACAGACATAAATAAATATAGCTAGTATCCACTTATGGATAAGTACATACCATATTCATCTTTTTAGGTCTGGGATACCTGACTCAGGATAGTGTTTTCTAATTCCATCCATTTGCATGCAAAATTTAAGATGTCATTGGTTATTTTTGTTGTTGTTGTTTGTTTGCTTTTACAATGAGTAGTACTCTAATGTGTAAATTGCCACACTTTCTTCCTCCATTCTTTGGTTGAGGGGCATGTAGGTTGTTTCCAGATTCTGGCTATTACAAATAATGCTGCTATGAACATAGTTGAACAAATGCCTTTGTAGTATGATTGAGCATCTTTTGGGTATATGCCCAAGGGTGATATGGCTGGGTCCTGAGGTAGGTTGATTCTCAATTTTCTGAGAAACCACCATACTGATTTTTCCAAAGTGATTGTATGAGTTTGCATTCCCACCAGCAATGGGTGAGTGTTCCCCTTACTCCACATTCTCTCCAGAGAATTGGTGTTTTTGATCTTAGCCATTCTGACAGGAGTAAGAAGATATCTCAGAGTTGTTTTGATTTGCATTTCCCTGATGGCTAAGGATGTTGAACATTTCCTTAAGTAGCTTTTGGCCATTTAAGATTCTTCTGTTGAGAATTCTCTGTTTAGTTCTGTACCCCATTTTCAAATTGGGTTATTAAGTATTTTGATGTCTAATTTCTTGAGTTCTTTATATATTTTAGAGATTAGTCCTTTGTCTGATGTGGGGTTGGTTGATGGAGGAAGGTCATTGGTTAAAAAAATAAAGAAACTGCTTGGCTGGCCCTCATAGGTTAGAACACAGGTGGGT